ATATATATTTTGGCAGGATTGCTCATACAGAGAGCCTGTGTCTCTTCCTCATTTCACTTTGCTAATGCAGAGTTTGATCTCTCTTCCAGACTGAATTGCCCCATAATGTCCATTAACAGCCCAGCCCCAGTTTTGACCAATGTACATGTTGGTTGTTGTAGGAGGACTCAATGCAAATCACTATTATTATTATTGCCCATATGCCCATTCACACTGACAGCAGTTTGTTGCTGGAGCCCACCAGGTCACTGTACCTTTTGCTAGGTTTACGTTCCTACGTTCCTCTTTCTGGAATACAGAAATCCATTGCCGGTGTCAAGAAAGATTCTATTCCCCCACAGAATCCTATCCTTATTCCACCCTAAAACTATAAATTGCTGCTGGGATGACGTGTTTTTGTTGGCCAAATCCCAGAAACAAGTTAGCAATTTAGCTTCTATAGTCCTGGGGCCCGTTCTTCGTACGTCGCTAACTCAGTTAGCTGGATTTGATTGTTGACGATTTGGCATGATCTTGGATTGGTTGGTTCTTCGAAGCTCATCCTGGACTTGCTTGCTGTCATAGCAACAGTTCTGTAAGCTTAAACCTGCTCGGGAGCAGGCTTATTTCATGTAAACAGGATTAGATCGCATCTTCTTAAGCAGAATTGATACTTAAAATCTGTCCGCTACCACCGCTACTTTATTACAAGAGTACCCTACTAATCCAGGGACAATAATTTAAAATAATAATTTAAAAATGAATTTAAAGATAATATAATAATGTTGTGTAGTCTTTAATACTATAGACACAGTCAGCTTTATTCACTGAAAGATTTATTCGTCATAAAATTATTACTTCATATTCGAGTCTTACACACATGCTATACAGATAATGTAGAGTCGTGCATTAATTTGAGTGATGACAGCTATTATGGGAGTGGCTTGATGGACCGCAGGAGATGCAGATAACATGATCTTGACCCTTAAGAAACTTTAAATAATGCTGTCACGTAACAAATGTTCAAATATAAAATTAAATGAATTGCTAATTACTACATTGAAATAAAACTGTAAAACCTGTACAAATATTAGAAATCGTGAATATAAATAGCCTAATTGGGAATCATGTAAAGAATTAAAATAAAATAAAAACTGTGCAAATTTCATTTATCTATTATCACATTTATGTAGTTTTGTTCGCTTGGCTGTTTCCTTATAAAAGTCCAGAAATTGGTCAAGTTTTTCATCAGGTGTCTTTTTTAATTATAGCCATACTAATCATCAGCAACAGCTGCGTTCGAAGAACCGAATTAGCCAGATCCTGATTAACGCGATGATATCATCTTGGATGTGACATTTCATCTCGGATGTAATAAGCGACGTACGAAGAACGGGCCCCTGAACTCAATGGGTTTTTTAAATGGGTTTTTGGGTAAATGCCTGAAATAAGGTCTCTGGTTAACACAAACCCAGGATATTTTTATGTTTTATTCTACAACATAAAATACATCAGTAATAATCGTAGACTCTGAGACTTTTGAAAACGATGGCGTGGCAGCCCACATTCGCTCTGCCTATCCTTGTGTAAACAATAACATCATGCTCATTGTTGTGCCCATAGATATGTCAAGTCAAGTCAAGTCTGCTTTATTGTCAATTCTTCCACATGTACAGCACATACACACAGAGAATTGAAATTGCCAGACTAAAGAAGCTGTGTGTCGGGTGGGTGGGATCACCTGCAATGCAGAGGGCTTTGCGGGTGAGACGGGTGTTGTAAATGTCCTGGAGGGAGGGGAGAGAGGCACCAACGGTCTTCTCAGCTGCTCTCACTATGCGCTGAAGTGTCTTGCGGCAGGAAGCGTTGCAGGCACCATACCACACAGTGATGCAGCTCGTCAGAATGCTCTGGTTAACACAAACCCAGGATATTTTTGTGTTTTATTCTACAACATAAAATACATCAGTAATAATCGTAGACCATAGATAATGTATACATATCTATGGTTGTACCTGCATGAATGGTCATGTGACATGCGTTTTCGATTGTGTAGTGTGGATGGAGAACATCTCTGAAATGCAGTGAAAACGCAAGTATAGACGAGGGTCGTTTTCATTTTAAAACACCGTTTTAAAATGAAAACGCACTAGTGTAAACATAGCCTTAATGTTGGAACATTGGAGTCATGCGACTGTGGTGTAGTTTGTTTATATACTATGTTTAGCTTTTTTATGTCTGACCATTGCATTTAGGCTGTAAAATTCATAAAAGTTGTGAAAAGCGTAAAGGCTGGAATACACTATACAACTTTTAAAATCTGAAAAGAGCTGACCGTGATACGCTACGCAACTTTCTATGAAACCTGTCAACGCAGACTGGTGCTGACTTTCGACAACTAGCGTCAACTTGTCCAGACTGTAAATCAGGGCAAAAATGTGGGCAAAAGTTGTGTAGTGTATTCCAGAGTAGTGTATTTGTGTAGTGTATTTAAGAATCATAAACATTTGCTCACAGAGCTTATTTTCTGCAATAATCTAAAAGCCAATGGAAAAATACTGTTGGGTTTTGGTGGAAGGAATTTCCGGTTTGACCTACAAAAATATGTCTTCACTGTAGCACTCTATTCGACAGTGGGTTTTATGGGTGTTCAGTTTGGTGTCTGATTAGTATTAATTGGTGATCATGAAAATATGCTAATTAATGTCTTTTAAGTGTCATCTATTACCAGAGCTAAAAGGCTAAATGTTTTCTGTTCTTTGTGCTTTCACATTGCCTACTGGCTTAGCATACAACAAGGTGTCTCATAGTGCATCTGAAGACACATACTGTCTAAGTAACGAGTAATGAACTTGATGACCAATAAAAAAAATATGTGCTGTCGCGGTGAGGGAATTTCCCTTGCGGTAATTTTGAGTGGCTCAATAGCGCGGTATGCGGTATTATCGCCATACCATGACAACCTATTTTCACAAATATATATGACTCGGCCTGGAGGACAGACGCAAGTAATTGCACGCGTTCAGTCGATCTCTCTCTCATTCACTGTCTGTTTAGACTTGTTAAGTGCAAATCTACGGAGCCTCTGTACAAATCAGCATGGTACACATTATGTTATCATTACTAACTTGTTTAATATTCAGTCCACATGCATGAAGTGTAAAACGAGAAGGGCATAACCTTACGAAAAAAGAAAACATGCAAAAATCGCGGTTGCTGCGGTTCTTGCATTCCTCTGCGGTTTGCTCGTCAATAGTGCGGTATTGCGATATTGCGGTTATCGCGACAGCCCTAGCCAATAGCTTCTTGGGCAGCGCGTCCACATATAGCAGCATTGCACTTCGGTTGTCCCGAGTTCGAGTCCCGGCTCGTTGACCTTTCCCGATCCCATCCCTCTCTCTCTGTCTCTCTCTCTCTCTCTCTCTCTCTCTCTCTCTCCCACTTCGTTTCCTGTCTACATACTGTCCTATCATAATGAAGGCCAAAAATAAATCTTAAAAAAAGCATGTTTTTTATAGTATGAATGTGAATATAAAAGTTTCCCATTTGCGACATTGTGGTGGCATGTATATGCGTACATTCAATCTTTTTGACCTGAAACGCATCATATGAATCCGGGCATACTACTTAATTCACATACTTTTCATTAGGGAAGTAGGCATTTTCAGATGTAGGGACAGTTTTAGTTTTGCTAAAAATGTGCAATACGAAGAGAAAGCTTTTGTATTTAAATTACAGCGGTTTGTAATCTCATATCATGAACAAGATTTATCAATGCTTGATTCGAACTCTCATTATCTCACAGATGTCAGCACATGAGCTTTATTGACTTTACTCCATTTCGTACGGTTCGTTCCAATGAGTCTCTGTTCATTTGCATGAAGTTAAATTTAAAAGTTAAAGTCCCACATCCTGTTGTCAGTGGTTACTGTCGCTCATGTCGTCGGAAACTGGGAGCTCTCATTGAAAATGACTACAGGTCACTTGTCGCTGTACATTGCTTTCATTGTGAACTCCCCTTTTGGGTTAGCGAAAAGAATAATACTTCAAATTGTGTGGCTTGTTGAGTAGACTTGGCCAGTAAGTAACTACCCTAGCAACTCCTTATAAACCACCCAGAACACCCTAGATACCTCTTAGCAATGTACGGAAAACCAACCAGAACGCCCTAAAAACCAGTCAAAGATTTGCACCACTCACATTTTCTTTGGAAAGTTTAAAAATCTAGTTATGGTTTGTAGGCTATCAGTAAGTAAACAGTAGAATAGTGGAGCGCTGAAGGGAAATGTTTTTCAGTGTGTTTTTTTCTCACTCTGGTTCTGTGGGCTGTATGCAAACCCTGGCGCGCACAAAGCCAAAGGGTGATAAGACGCTTATTTGACTTGCTTGGTGCACCAGGAGGAAATGATGTCATCAAGCACAAGAGAGACAGGATTGTTTTGCTCAGCGCTGAAGCTGGCCAGCACAAGCCTCACATGCTTCAACGTATTTCTGTTGATTCGTTATGCAGAGAGTGTCCAGCGTTTCGGGTCTCGCTGCCTATGGCTGTCTGTCTGTCGAGGGGAAAGGGTTCCGCCGATGTTGTTTTAAAAATAGCCCTATGTTCGATGCTCTTGCACTAATGCCGCCCAACAATCTGACACAATTTAGGGCTCCCTTCTCTTCCTCCATGGATCTCAGGCAACCTCCCTAACTTTTTTGACCATAGCTGGACCTTTTTAGGAAAACCACAGTGTTTCTGCAGATGTTTGCAGATGTGAAAAAGCATTGATGTCTATGAGACAAACCTGTCTGTGGCTGTTCTAATGTCAGCACAGTTGTTTTTGACAGCTGTTTCCTCTCAGTTTTTCATAGTCTGTGCCAGTTAGCAGCTTGTAAGTGACATTTTGTTTATAGACTTGCTTTACCAGACTGCGCAGGCCGAGTGTCCTGTTTTGTACACCGATGTTTTTGCAGATAGTTTGTGTCATTATAACACTTGTGCTAGCTAACTGCTCTCCTTTTCTGTTTTCTTTCCACAGACAACAGTCAAGTGAGGAGGACAACTCAGCCATACTTAAATGTGCTGCTAAAGCCTCCATATTTAAAACAAGAACTTTCTGTTTTTTATGCTGTTTTTTATGATATAAAATCAAATTTCCTCCAGAGATTGACGAAAAGATAGGGCGACTGAGACGGGGGAGGTGGCAGAAAAGTTTCCGTCAAGGAACTGAAGATCTGCAATGCCTCTGGTATGGGCCCTGTCATTCAAATTTGGGTGCCAGGTTGAGGTATTTTGAAATAGATGTCATGGTATGCTTCTCTTGCTTTCTTCTTACAGCCCAGCATTAGCGGAATGGATACTCCCTTTGGGGATGCCTTTCAAAACTGCTCTTTTACTGACCAGGTGCTGACCAGCACAGACCTGTTGGCTAACAGTTCTGACCCAGATTTCATGTATGAACTGGTAAGTTCATACACACAGTGTTACTGTTCCATTTTTATTCATACCTAGAGGATTTTCACACTACAGAACTTACACGCATGGAAAAACAAGATATAGTGGCATTGTGCTAATTTGTTCCTTTGTTTTAGTTAAATCGTAGTTCATTTTCACTAAATTAAAATGAGGGAATGAAATGGTGACCGCACTCTATCTAAAATGCGGGAACGACTAAAAAATGTGGCCATGAATTAATAAGTAAAAAAATATGTAAATCATGTTCATTGATTTACTAAAAGGATAAGGATTTTATAAAATATTTTTACAGACAATTTCTGCCCGATTAAATATTTTAAGCTTAGCATAACTAGAAAAATGTATATTCTTTATCAAAGTGCCTATAGTGTTTTAAAATGTTATTAATTTGCATGAGTTTTCCAGGTCTAGAAATCACACAAGTCATCTTGGGGCCCACTTGGAAGTTTGCTATGGGCCCCAAGTGCTGTGCATTTAATTAAATACAATTTTCAGCACATAATGGTTACACATTGTGTCATGTATAGAGTGACAAATTGAAAGTATTATTTTTGCATAGTGTTCCAGAAGATCGCTAGAAATAGTTGTGGCAACATTTCCACAAATGGACAAGCAGTCATTAAACCAGGCTGCATACTGGACTTGTCCAATAAAAGATACTAACCTCGTAAATATGCACATAAAAACATTAACACAGTGCTCAAATGAGAAATGTGAAATCCTGAAACCTAACAGCCCTAAATTAATTACAACCCAAGGTAAAGTCTAGACAGTGTAAAACATGGAACAAGATTACCCAGGGTTATGTTAATGACACTGGGTTATTAATTTCAAGTGTGAAAACCCCACCAGTTTCTTTAGTCTGCCGTACAAAGTTGAGTTACATTTTTGAACGTTTGCAGGATCGGGACATGACTTGTCGCCAGAGCCCTAGAGGAAATATTTTCACAGTCGGAGACGGCAAAGACTTGGACAGCATGGATCATCTACCTGAACTGGTAGATAACGACCCTGCTTACAGCTCAAACTTTGAGCAGTGGGACACGTACTGGGAGGACTTGACTAAGTACACTCGCCTCACCAGTTGTGATATCTGGGGCACCAAGGAAGTAGATTTCTTGGGCCTTGATGACTTTTCCAGCCCTTACCAGGATGAGGAGGTGATAGGACAGACACCGACCCTGGCCCAGCTCAACAGTGAGGACTCGCAGCCAGTTTGTGACACTCTTTACCATCCGGACTTGCTGGTGGGTCAAAAGCAGCTTTTGTTTCCACCTCCCACCATGGCCAAGAAGACTATGAAACTCAGCCACTCTGCAACCAGCTCCTCATCGAGTCACAACCCTCTGCCGGACTTTGCCGAGGGATCCCAGAAAGCTACCTGGCCTGTTCCCTCCAGCACTGACATAATGGCCAAGGGCCAGTTTCAGGGCCCTAGCAAAGCCTCGACTGCACCTCTGGACAACATGGATTACGTTCGCAAAGCCAAGGTACGCATCAGCGTACCACGCAAGCCTTTAGTAGAGAGCTCCGCCCAGATTAGTGTTTCTGCCTCTCCTCTTATCCAGGAGCACGAGTCGTCAGCTTCGCAGGTCAGCGAGGACCCAGCCGTCGACGCTTCTAACACAGCCTCTTCCATTAGCTGTGAAAAGAGAGTGGAGACTCCTAAACGAGAGGTACCGACTGGTCCTGGTCCAGAAATAGGGACCCTGAGGACGGTGCCACACAAAGTCCCCTTCGCTGCAGCTGCCGGCAGTGAAACTTTGCTCACCGTGAGTGCCCTTGGATCCGACGCTTCTGCCGCTGACAAAAAGAAGGAGGAAGAGCACAACTACTCGTTATTCTTGACCAGGGCCAGGCTGGCAGGGAAGGCAACTGCTGACATGGAAGAAGAGGAAGAAGAGGAGGAGGAGGAGGAGGAAGAAGGTGAAGAAGAGGAAGAAGAGGAGGAGGCAGAGGGATTGGATCTAGATGATGAAGACCATGATGAAGGGTTTGGCAGTGAACATGAGCTCTCAGAGAATGAAGAGGAAGAGGAGGAGGAAGATGAGGACTATGAGGGCGACAAAGACGACTACGTTAGTGACGCATTCTCAGAGCCAGGTGCGAAATGACATCTTTTTCTTGATGCTGTTGTAGACAAATGCATAAAAACTAGGGATGCTATAAATGATACTGGTATCAATACATGCTGTTCTGTACATTCGAAACACAAAGCATCAGACTTTTGGAGGTACAAAATTCAGTGCCACCAAGCGAGTGCACAGTACATTTAGTACAAATAGGTCTATAACTGAGTGAACAGAAAGAGAGAGTATATAGAGTTAATTGTCCTAGAATGTCATTGCTCTTAAGCAGCATTGGGAAATCCAGTTCATTCTAGGAGTTAACTACTTGGAAAGTGCATTGTAGGTTGTGTGCAGATAACCAAAGGGAAGTGAAACTAACAGATGATCTTACCCAATACTTTGTTATACATAAAAATGACTTAAATTACAGTAAATTGTTGTGATGCCACCCAAAAGCAAATGCATACAGGTTCTTAAATGCGTGAATCTCTTCGGTTATTTTTTTTTATTATTTTCTTGTATTTTATTTATTTATTTGTTTGTTTGTTTGCGTGGTGTTATGGAGCAAAAAATGTACGCATTTTGTAATTGTGTGTGTTTGTGTGTGTCTGTGTGTACTTGAAGGTTTAGTCAACCCAAAAATGAAAATTCTGTCATCATTTACTCACGCTCAATGGTCCAAACTTGAATGAGTTTCTTTCTTCTGTTGAACATAAAAAATATATATTTTGAAGAATGTGGGTAACCAAACAGTTCCTGGTCGCCAGTGACTTCCATCGTATTGGGAAAAAAATACTATGAAAAGTCAATGGGGACCAGAAACTGTTTGGTTACCTAGAAATGAAAATTGTCTTCAATTGTTCACCCTCATGTTGTTCCAAAACCACAAGACTTTAATGTGTTTCATTAAGATATTTTAAAATGTATTTCCCTCCATTAAAAGTCCAGTCCAGTTTTTTTACATTTTAAAGAGACATCGTAAAAGTAATACATACGAATTGTGTGGTTTAATCCAAATCTTTTAAAGATACAGGATCACTTTATATGATGCACAGATTTAATTTAGCCTTTTAGTCACATATAAACATTGATCAACTCGCATACATAGAGCACATCAAATATGGTACATACTTGCTTGATGTTCAAGAACAAACCTCATTGGTTCACGTGCGTCATACAAGCATGTTTGAGTTTCCGTTTACAACATTTGATGTCTATGGAATGTCCCCATTTAGATAGCTAAGCAAATGTGTAGTTATTTATTTATTTTTATATTTATTAAATTGCAATATGCATATTTTACTTTGGTAAAACTTTTTTGACCAGTGCATATGATTAATTGCAGCAGTTTGCAATTTCAGAGTTTGTATTTGTCAAATAGTGCAGACATAGTGACACCAGAAAAGATGACAGAAAACAGTTAGATAGGGATCTTTGAAGGATGCTGATTTGTGTCAAAATCTATGTGTCCTCCTCCACCCATCCTGTTGGAAACGGAAGAGACCCAAATTTTGTACTTGTCAAAAACAATAATTGGAAACGTATAATATATATTTTTTTGTCTTGTACTGTTTTGTTAGCTAGTCAGCTTAAATGAAGCCTGAAATGAAAAAAAAAGAAGCTTTTTTTCCCAGGTTGGTCTAAAGGACACGGAAGTGTTGCAGAAGATTGGTTTGTAAACATTGTGATTTTATCCATTGCGGTATGCTTCTATAGTCTCCTGTATTTGCTGTTAAAGTTCATATTTGATGAAAATAATAATCATCAGTCTCACTGGACTGTACTGGTAAATACTGGTATACGTAACAGCAAATACCAAAACAGAAGTATCAGTACTTGTATTTGGTATTGTGTGCATCCCTAGTGAAAACTTGTGTGCGCTGCCCTAATTTGAAACTATGAAGCTACTAATATCTTGAACGAGCCCTTGTGACTTGTTATGGTTGAATTGAGAATTATGATTGTACATTTACAAGATTATAATGGTTTAGCGATTCTGTAAATGCAGGATAGGAAAAGATCATTGTTCATTTCTTTCTTTGCCTCATTACCATCCTATCTTTCAAACAGGATGTGACACTGATATGGCTGATGATGTCAAAGGCCTGACGGCTGGAATTTCCAGGAAGAGGGGAAAGCGTCGATACTTTTGGGAGTATAGCGAGCAGCTCATCCCATCCAAACAGGAGCGCATGCTGAAACCCTCCGAATGGGACAGAGACACACTTCCCAGCAACATGTTCCAAAAGAATGGCCTGCACCATGGTGAGACATTCACTGCCCATCATATAAAATCTATGAACAAAGAAGGACCTGTTCAACTTATGTTTCAGATTATAATTACAACAGATCACAGTATTTAAAGCTTTTATGAAAATTCCCTTTAAGCCTGATATATTTAACGTTAATGTTTGTCTGAATTGTTTAGGAAAATACACACTGAAGAAGTCGCGGCGGACGGATGTGGAAGATCTTACTCCAAACCCTCGGAAGCTGCTTCAGATCGGCAATGAACTCCGGAAACTCAATAAAGTCATTAGTGACCTGACTCCGGTTAGTGAGTTACCCCTAACCGCTCGGCCTCGGTCTCGAAAGGAGAAGAACAAGCTTGCATCCAGGTAAAGCCGTATCCACGTACTCCTTGAACTACTACTTCTTTTATTTCTTAAAGCTCACATCCAAATGTTTTCCCTTAAACTGAAAATCCTATAAAGCAATACCACTCTAGATAGACTGGGTAAACTACGTTGTGTGCTGTTTAAAATGATTAAAATGCTGAAATACAGCACACCAAAATGACTTTTTTAGTGAAACACTCTTCTTGATGCTTCTCTCTGTGTGTGTGTTTTTTTTTTTTCTTCCCTAGGGCCTGCAGGCTGAAAAAGAAAGCTCAGTATGAAGCCAACAAAGTCAAGTTATGGGGCCTTGGAACTGAATATGGTACATTGTTTAGACATGGAAATTAAATATTAAAGGAAGTGCTTGATATTGTTTATTGTAGAGTGTAGATTGAGTGTAACCACTTTGCTTACCTTTGAAACAAGACTAGTTTTTAGATCAGTTAAGTTTTTGTGCATACTTATAACCGAGCAAATTTGCCAATGAGACAAATATATGATTGTCTTCTTTTTCAGATTGTTTGCTGTTTGTGATCAATGCAATCAAAGAAGAGATAGTCAGCAGAGTTCAGGATATCTCACATGACAAAGGAACAAGCATGACCGAGAAGCTGGATAAACTCATTGAGGATACCTTAGGTAAGAAAATGTGCTACATTGCATTATTATTAACACTTGTAAAACATTGCAAATGCAAATTATGTGTGATCTTGTACAAGCTGTCTTCAAGTTTCTCCTCAAACACACCACTAACAACTCGATACATCTTACAAGCTGAGTTGCAAGAAATCTGCATGCCTTACAAGCACGATCAAGCTGCATCTTCTCCAGCAGCTGCTATCCTTGTGTCTTCAAGAATTTTAAGAGCCTTCACATTGCTCCGTGCCATGCTGTGACCTCTGTTGTATCTAAACTGTTTTCTGAAGAAATGTTTGTTAGCACATCAGAATCAGCACATCACCTCATGACATGACCTCATCCTACTGTTATATAAGTTCCAAAAACAGCTTTAAAAGAACACAAGATGAATATTTGTAAAATATTTTTTCAACATGTTGGAAGCTCATGATCTCAGCATAGACTGGGAAATAAACAGCCTGTAACTATCAACAAAACTCTATTAAAACTTATCCTTTAAAGGTGACATATCATGAAAATCTGACTTTTCCAGGTTTTTCCAGTAACTTTGTTTTGGTAGGCCTTTTTCTGCAAGCGTCTGAAAAAATGAGCGCGTCTGATTTCGCTCCCTTGGTGACGTGGCAAAGGGATCTCATTAGAATATTACCACCCCTTAAAGGGGTGGTTGATTGCGATTTCACTTTTTTAACGTTAGTTAGTGTGTAATGTTGCTGTTTGAGCATAAACAATATCTGCAAAGTTACGAAGCTGAAAGTTCAATGCAAACGGAGATATCGTCTTTTAAAATTCTGGCAGTTTAATGCCTACAAAAACGGCTGGTAGGGACTACAACGAGTTACTTCCCGGGTTTGTGACGTGATAAGCGATATTAACGACACGTTGTTTACAATACAACCGGAGAACATGCAGCTGAGGAGAGGGGCGGTACATTAAGAAGCGCACTAGAGGTGGTTTAGCCAATCACAACACACTGGGCTAGCTAACCAATCAGATCCCATCGCCTATTTCTGAGGGAGGGGCTTCATAAAAGAAGGAAATGATCAGCACGTTTCTCAGAGAAGGGACAGAGAGGTGTGGAATAAAGGTAAATTATGTGAAAAATAATGCGTTTTAAAAAAAACGAAGCATTAACACATGTTAGGCTAGGAAAAGATCAGCCCGTTTCTCAGAGAAGGGACAGAGCTGTGTAGAATAAAGGTAAATTATGTGAAAAATAATGAATGTTTTTAAAGATGAAGCATTAACACATGTTAGACTGCACCCCATAAACACAATCAAGCCTAGAAAAAAACCAGTGAACCACCCCTTTAATCTGCATGTTTCCACTAGTGATGGGAAGTCCGGTTCTTTTCCTCGAACCGGTTCTTTCGGACAGTTCGTTTCAATGAACCGGTTCAAAAAAATACTCGCATGCTGTCTGGTGGCCGCTTTCTGTCCGTTTGCTTCGGTTGTGTGCGCACAGAAAACCATATATCAGAAGTTTAAACTAATATGGTTTAAAACGCATGATTTCAGCGTGATAAACATGATAATCAGAACAAAAACAGATGTTTTTTAGCAGGTCCAAGCTGTAATGGCGCAGCACATATTGTAAAAAGGGGCATAATTTGTCTCCTTTAAGATCAAGGTAGGCTACTTTGCTACTCTATTTAGTCTTAGTTCCTGGTCTGAAAACGTATGCACATGACTATTGTGGCAACATTTTTGCACTTTATTTGACATTCCCACCTAACAGTTGTATTATATTACTTATATAGTTTCATTAATAACTTCTCTTTTGTTCATACAGTGCAGCCACCAGTGGCCGGCCAGACTTCAGACTTTGTGAATCAGATCCTGGAGAACACTGGGAAAGGAGATCCCACCGGAGGGCTGGTGGGATTGCGTGTGCCCACATCGAAGGTGTAGAGTCACGCCGAAAGACACCTCGGAGCACACACGAAGCCATCTGCGCCATTCTTGTCCCACACTGTAACGGCCCAACACTCTGCATGCCCATTTTCACTTGGAGACGCATCCTCACATTTAAAGTGAATACATGCATACGATACTACTTGTCCGTGCATACGTATGTATATATTCACCTCATGCGCACCAATGGAAATGAAACTAGTAGTTAACCTTTGCACTCAATAGTCTGTTTCCTACCATGTGTGCATGTGGCTGGTATCGATCAACAGGCCGCCATGTTGCAAATATTAAAAGCCAATATACGAGATACTTCCAACAAATGAGAAAAAGAGAGAGGAAAAAAGCTAAACAATGAGCACCAGTTCTTGCTGTAGCCATTTTCCTCTTGCATCCAGCTAAATCTGTCAAATGCCCATTAAGAGTTTTGGAAAGCAGAGGCGCACTCTGCAGAGAAACTACGAAGGCATTAGATCCTTTGATTTAGCGGTCAAAAAGGTGTAAATGCAGACTTTCTGAGTTTTTGAACATGGCATGTACGATTTCACCCGAGTTAGGCCTACTTTATGCACTTATTAATCTCTAAACTGAGGGTGTAAGTGTCCAGGGGGGATTCCTGTTCCAAGCATTTTTTTGAGGATCAATTGAGATACACCAACTACAAAAAGGCAAACACGAAAGAACACAAATACCGATGTATAGCGAAGTTACTGATGTTCGGTGTATATATGTAGAACGGGGATGTTTCAGGAGAGTAGCAGGTGAGGAAACAGGCCTCAGATGCCCTTTTCCACAGATTTGCGATCGTCTCAGGTTGGAAAGAGAGAGAGAGAGAGAGAGTGAGTGTGTGTGTGTGTGTGTGTGTGGGTGTGTGT